GCAGTAATATATGTTAGAACTTTACAACAATCAGATAATTAACTAAACTGCTGCAATGTATATTACTGCTAATTAACTTAATATGATTATATTTTTATGTATGTCCGTCACCTTAAATATGTCAATGCCTAATACTGTACTTTAAAACTTATACTAAGTAACTAACTTAAGCCTAACCTAAACTAAGTAAACTGTATATTTTCTTACTAACTATCCTGATAACTAAATTAACTGAAGAAGGTATGTATCCTTAATTGTCGACTAAAGATAGGATAAGCTATGAAATATTATTATTAAACGTATTTACAAAACATATTCCGCATCAGTACCGTCACTTTCCAAAATTAGTTAGCCGGGTATGATACGGAAAATGTACAACAAATAACTATATACCAACTATGTAACGCAATCCGCCCAATACCGTCACTGAGAAAGGTCAGCCAAGTATATATTCGGAAAGCATAAGGTTATTTACATAAAGCAATCCTGCCCAATACCGTCACTGAGAATGGTCAGCCGGGTATCTGACGGAAAGCATATATATGTTGCACGATTACACCAGTCCTTGTTTGGTTATTCTTGGAAATTCTTAGGAACTGGATGAAGGACATGCAACAGAGTAGATCATTGCATAATTACGACTTATATATTGCCTGAATATGCTTCACCCAGATCAGATCTCCATGGAACAGTGAGAGGAACTACATCATCTAGGACACAGCACCAGTAGTGTATTCCACCACAAGTCAAATCTTCAATGTTGAAGTTTGACCTGTAAAAGGGACAAGCTACGTCTATCCTAGATGATGCGTCTGTATTGGTATGCCATCCCTGTGTACAGTCATGTTATATTTCTGTCCAACGAGCTAGCTGGCGTACATATGGCAAAGCATCTTCCCAGCATCGAAAGAAGTTACGAAAAAGACTATTACTGCCAAGAAGTTCCTTACTATAATTATGCAGTAGCATCGTTGTTTAGATGACAGGGTTAAATTAGCATAAGCGATAGTTCTCTCTTCACCATCTTGGACTTAAGATTGATAAATAAATGTAACTTATGGAGATCAATACTCTAAATTCTACACTATTTTTACATCTACAAACTACACTTACACTATTTCCCCTCCCTTTTATTTTAAAATAAGAGAAGTAGTAATATAGGTCTAACTGTTCTTATTATTAATGTAGGAATACTAGAACTTATCTAATGTAGTTTGTGCATATATAATTAGCTATACTGGTGTATTGACTATTGTACACAAATTACTAAAGTACATGTACTATAATTGTGTAGGCAAGTCTATAAGTAATTCCGCTAAATAATAACTAAACAGTGCTGCAAGTTATAGTTATAATATTAATCACTTATGTTGGTAATATTAGTAAGCTAAGTATAATGATTCACTTATAGAAATCTAAACTGATAATAAATATCAAAATATAAGAACTAAAATACTATAAGTAAGTTAGTCAACTACCAACTACTTCCAGTTGAGAGTTAACTACCAGTTCTTGTTTAAATGTTAATAGCTTGAATATATTAGAGTTGAATAAGGTTAGACTGCAATAAAACTAATGTTATTAACAATACAGTCTACTGATTTAATACTAAGCACTAGAGTACATGTACTAAATGATTAGATTACTACACTTATTTGATATAAATCTTAACTAACACTCAATATTTCTAATTTACTTATATCAAAACCAACACACTAAGTATAGTAGAATTATGGTATATAACTCGATAAACACTGGGTATAAGCATTTCAGGTTTATTTAAGCAAATGATCTAAGTCAATGTGATGGGCCATGGCACAACCCAGCACTTGTTCTCTAGTGGCAGCCCAGATGGAATGCCCAGCCCATGGTCTACAAAGTGGAGTACACAAACAAGGTACCGGTACTCTCTGTATGTGGGATTAGGGTCCTTGTCGGCAGCACTCCAAGTAAACCTGGTTGGGCCACCTGTACTGTCACTTTCAGTTGTGGTTGTTGTAACATACACAGCTGATGCTGTTACAGACAGTGTGGAATCAGCATTCAGCGCTTCACTAATTTTCTTCTGTTGTGGATCCAGTAGTGAAGAGGTTGCTGTTTCCTCATGTTCTGTAACCAGCTCTTGGTAGGAGGACTCCTGTAAATTGTCGATTGTCTGAGCATTCACAACTTTGCCATTGCTATGCTCAGGCAAAGCATCACTCCTATGAGGCTGTGTATCTGCAGTCAAGTCCAGGGTTTGCTGTTGGCAATCAGATGTATTATTAGTGTCTGGAGTTGTTTGGCAACTAGCAGTTGAATACTCACTACTCTGTAGCCATAACTCAGACTCACTGCCATCTGTCTCAGAATCATCTTTGTCCTGTATGTCTGTGTTTGGAATTCCAGGAACTTGGAGATCACCATTTGACACCATGGTATTCCACTGAATACTAGCAGGTGATACATCACCACTCCGTATTTGTGGAAAACCCGGTGGACTTTTGCAGGTAACTGTGGGTATCTGCTGCTGCTGCTGCTGCTGGTGTATTGCTGCAGAAATTGTTGGCTGATGATGATGATATACTGCTGCAGGTAGGACAGATTCAAAGTTGCTGGCATCTGTAGGTTTCAATGGTGAAGGATCATTTGATAGTTCCTGGTCCTGGGTGTTGGGAATTTCATTGGTTGACATTGACATAGCAGGGCATTGTACAGCTACCCCATCCTGTGAGTGTGCCAACGGTGGTGGCATTGGTGGTCCTCCATACATGCATTGCTGTTGAGGTACCATGTATCCAGGTGGAAACATTACAGGATATGGGCCATAAGCATATGGTATGCTGAGATACGGCTGTGGTGGTCCAAAGAATGGTTGTGGTAATGGTCCACCGTATCCAGGAAATGGTACTGGATAGCTCCCAGGGACTGGTACACAAGGAGTTGGATACCCGTATGAATTGAAAGATGGCAGGTATGGTCCACCATAGTATCCAGGAGGTGCTGTACAAGGTGTCATAGCTGGATTCATCTTGTTACTTTCAGTAGTTCAAAGTTACGGAAATAATCACGCCATTTGATACTACTGAAACAGTCGGAGAATGTGTGTATATTTATTACTGTACGTTATACGCTATTTCCATCTCACGGTAAACGAAACCGCCGGTGAAAATGTTACACACTAATGTTACCAATTCGCAACAAGATCCGTGTAATCGCCGTGATCTGAATTAAACGTAACTTATAATGCCGGTTTAATTCATCGATATAGTCCAGATAATTTTACTTTACTGTCTCTATCTTTTCTCTCTATCTTCTTCTGTCTATCTTGATAAGATGTTGTTTTCTATCTTTATGGTAGCTTATTGTTGAATTAAACGTTACTTTGACACAATAAATAATTGTATTTAAGCCAATTTAATTCAACACTAAAGTTTCTGGTGATTTAGTTAGACGTTTCTCTTTTCTGTCTATCCTTTTCTTTCTATCTGTATATCGGCAGTAAAATAGTGTTTCCTTTATCTTTGTTTTTATTTGATAATTCTGTATTGGTCCAAAATATTAATCCCGTTGTCTATCTCTTAATTAATTACTTAATCTGTAAATTAACTTGCTTAATAAATTAACGCACTGACTCTTACAACGTTAATGTAAACGCTCGATGGCAGACGGCGGTAGCAGTAAGCACTGATGTTAATAAAATAAATACCTGATAAAATAATTAATCAAAGAATATAATCATTTAATGACGTTATATGAATTGATTATATTTTTGCAAAGATATTCACTATTGTTGCACAGAGCTAATATGCAAAAACGTAACTCGACAAAATCAGTTCACTGTTGTTCAAAGCGAGCACGTGCGCCTTGATCTATATATAGCTAAAACAGGTAAACCGGTTTGAGTGAACTAGCTCTGTGAAACTACATATACATAAAACTAACAAAAACACTATATCTCTCTACTTTCCCTCAAAATATTTTTTAAGGAACTTAGAGAGAAAAAGCAACAATATATAAATATTCTATATCCAAATTAAATTACGAGTCGAGAAGAAAACGGCACTCCTCGAAAATTGTCAACACGAGTGACAATAACTTTTCAATAGAAAAAAAAAACTATTTGTCTCGTGCAAAAGGGTAAATTATACAAACAATTTCAGAATGAAAATCAATCGTTGTGGCACAAGTGGCCGAAATTGAATGAACTAAGAAGAAAAATAATGCAATTTGCACAAGACAAAGAAAATATCAAAAATTTTCGTACTGACGTTTACGAAAAACGCCTATACGATATTGTAAGCTAAATAGTAATGAAAATATTCAAATTTTCGCACTAACGTTTACAAAAAAACGCTGTACGATAAATATTATACTAAATACTAATGAAAACAAAACTATCAAAATAATTGGACCGTGATATCACCACGTGTTCAAATGCTACTCACGGGTGAAAAAATGCCAAATTAGTCAAATTTTTGGAACTTTGTAAATAACGTTAATTATAACGCCTGTAAGCAACAGTTTCCTAAAATGTCATTGACTTAATGCAAAACATTCCACGTGAGTGTTTTTACTCACGAGTGAAAGACAATTCACACGTGAATTTTGTAAATAAAAACATGTAATTCATAAATTCAATACACCCCGCACCGAATTACCGGCGACGCCAATGTAGTAAAATATAAACATATTTTACTATGTAAGAATGTCGCCTACCTTAAAGTAAGTATACAACTAAGGTGACGACCAATGAACAAATTCTACATGGTGAATACGGTACAAGTACAACAAACAAGTCAAAGAACAGGTAACACACACACGTGGTGACTGGTTTGAGGACTGGACCGGACTGACGAAGGGAAGCATGCTGGCCAGCACGGGTGGATGGCTATGAGGTCAGGGTGAAAGGTCACAGGGAATACATTTACATACACAATTTCACTACAGGTATAAAAATACATATGCAATACAGCATTAATGCTTGATAGAAATTTGCGACAGCTTATAATCATTCTTACGAGTTCAGAGCGTCGGCAATGCATTGCCACTCCCTCTCCCGTAATTCCTTCTGTTTCCCCCTCGCCCCACTTCCTTTAAAAGGCCCAAACAACGTGTCCGCACGTTGTTTGACGCCCTCTATTAGGGCCACCTCTTCCCCACTACTCCAGTTTTGTGATCGTTTCCCTTTTCTTTCTTCCATTGATATCAATATAATAGAGCAGACGACAATTAAAAGCGAGCGCAGCGAGCGTCGCGAAGCGACGCTCGCGAAGCGAGCTCAATAGACTAACGTGTAAGAACAGAGGAAATTCGGATTGAAATCTGTACATACGTCAGCCAAATTTCTCTGGGCAACATTCCCAGAATTCCTGCACTACCCAATGTCCTTTGCGCGAATATTTCCGAATAAATAAATAAATAATAACGTAAAGCATATATCAGACTTTCAGCTTGTAGAAATCTTTCAAAGAAACAAGAAATAACTCTGCAATGTTTTTCGACAAAAATTGCACTAGTTCTATAGTTTCAAACAGACGCTCGGCTGTCTCCGTAAGCTCCGACGAGCTTTGTGACGTCGTATGACGTCACAACTAGTCGAGATATCTCGTGCGGCTTGACGATCTCAAGTGTTTTAGATGGTTCAACTGCGCTCGCCCCAACGGTCACACCGTAAAACATATTATTTACATATACGTAATTTATTTATTTATTTACATGTAACCAAAGTTGTTTCTTACCTTTTGACAAAAAAGAGCTCCTCTGGGCCGCTTCAATCAGCGAAAAAAATCCGCGAAAACAGTCTCGCGAGAAAAAAATCTTGAGAAAATTCTCAACTCAATTCTTGAGAATTACTCAGCTGAGAATAGTCTCAAATCGTTTTATGACGGCCGATTTAAGAAAATTCTTAGCTGAGTAATTCTCAAGACTTGAGTTGAGAATTTTTTTGAGAATTCTCAAAGTTTATGTCTTCGAAAGTTGTCAGCAATGAAATAAGTGTTTGGACACATTTGCTGTTTTGTTTTTCCCTGTGAAAAAAATCTGAGTGTGCTGCAATTAAGCTATAAAATTAGTGATATCCGTAAACAGTACGTCTTTTATATACACAGATACATGTAAATGTATTTCACACCTAAATCCAGGTAAGTCCGTAATTTCCGATTGCATAGACAATCACAATTGAATTTCTTAATTTGTGATCATGAACTTCATGTAGAAAAACTAGCATCTATTTTTGATATTTGCACCATCTTTAGTTACCACATATTAATACACGTTTATGTATGATAAAATCCCACCACTTCATATCATTAAATATATATTCATTTTGTACTATAGAAACGGTATGGCGTATATTGGGACATACAAGGAATTACATGTAGAATTAGGCACGTAGCAACAGGGGAGGGGGGATTTTTTCCAAAAGTAAATTTTACTATTGGAAATGTTCTTTGATAGGCCGGTTGCCTCTCTCCCCCTTCACTTTTGGTTACAGTAAATTAAAGGTAAATTACATGTAGTATATATATACTAGTATTTAAAAAATGATACTAAAGAAGTTGGCCTCTACACCACCCTTCACCCCTGAAACATGACTTTCGAGTTTGGGCAATCCCCCCCCTTTATGTTGTTTAATTTCATTAATATTTTGTTTTTTGCTTGTCAACTTTTTTCAGGTAAGTTATTTTTTTTCATCTTTGCCCCCCCCCCCCCCCTCACTTTCAAAAACGATGCTACGTCACTGCAACATTTTCAGAAAAGGAAATACCTATTTATGGGGGAGGGTGGTGTCATGGGCCAACTTATGAAAGACCAGTGTTTCCCGGGTAGGGGCTTGCAGGTAGTTCGTGTTCTTTGTTTTATTTTTGTTTTGTTTTTTGTTTTTGCTCATTTTGATGTATTAAAATTCATTCCTGTGGAAAATGACTAAAATTACTTTTCATGAACCAATACATTTAACACGTTTAGTATATCCTTTACTCATAGGAAATACCTGTCTGTATTGTATTGTAAATTAACCCATTAGATTCTTTTTGTTTATTGCGAGAATCATAGGTATATCACATTCAATTGTCAGAAAAGTAAAGACACAAGGAAGATTTTTTATTTTTAAATAGCTACATTCTCTACCAAGCAAAGAAATTTTGCGAGAAATAAAAAAAAACAGAAAGTGTTACTACCAACTTAAATATTTTGATCCTAATAAGAATAGGCGAAAACGAAATAAAGACACATATTTGGAATTTGGGATAAATATTTGTCATCGGCTGCTATAGGAGGTGGGGATTCTGAAAAAAAAAATCCACGAGCGATTATACTTATCCGACATTATTGTCAACATGTATTGAATATGCAAACATATATAAAACTACCTGTGTAAGTATTTACACGGACTTATAAATCAAAATGTAGAAAGCCTTTCAAGTGATCATGAGAAAAGAGTAGAGTAGTCTTCTGAATACTAAAACAATAATAATTTCGGAACAGGTGTTTAAAACGTTTTAAGCGAATTGTAAGAATGCCTGTTATATTATTCAGTCAGAACTGAGTCCGATTTATAACCCTCCCCCCCTCCCCTTATCCCCCTCCAAACAAAACTTTTAATCAAAACTTTTACTGATGAATCATTTTCAGTCTTATTAAATATCATTTTACCTGTCTTATTAAAACCCCCAATAATATTTGTAAGGCATAATAAATAATATGAAGTCATTAAACTCAGAAAGGGGGGTGGGGGGTTACATTTAAATTTCAAGTATTCCTCTGTCATCAAGCAGGATATAAATGAATATATCACAGAAAACAATCAGTTTTAATGTACCCATGAACTAATTGAAAAAGTTTACCGTGCTGATATTTTTGTAAATCGGGATCGAAATCCCTCGCATTCTTATTATGTTCCCCAAACGAAGTTGGGAAACATATTGTTTTTACTCTGTTTCTTATTATTATTAAGTCTTCCGTTCACAACGGAAGACTTATAGCGAGCGCAGCGAGCGTCGCGAAGCGACGCTCGTAACTGCGAGCTCTTAAAGCAACGCCTGTGCGAAGAGAAAATTCGGACTATCTGCACATTCATTCGATGAAATTTTTTGATGCCGAAATTGGACCCATAATGCAACACTTAATTTTCAAAGCTACGTTAAAGCTACGTTCTCGTGAGAATAGCAAAAGTCCAACTAAAAGCAAACATGTCCTGACTTAATGGATAAATATTGAAGATAAATAGCAAACGAAACGTTCTTCATTTATTTTCAGCACTCTTCAGGATTCTTTGGCGAAATGTAACTTACATTCGACGTCATGTGACGTCAGAGTCTAGACGCATGAAATGTCACGTGCAGTTTGACGTACGAGTCCGATCTAAATTCTAACAAAATAAACATCTGCGCTCGCCATAACGGTCGCACCGTCAACATATTAGTGTTTGTATTGTTTCTTTTTATTAAGTCTTCCGTTCACAACGGAAGACTTATAGTGTTCGTATTGTTTCTTTTTAAGGTCTTCCGTCTTCACGGAAGACCTTATAGTGATTCTACTGTTTCTTATTATTATTATTATTATTATTATTCTTTTTATTATTTTTTTTCCAAATTTTGTGCACGCGATTTCTCGAAGACTACTGGATGGAATTACATGAAATTTTTAGAAAAGATGTGTTGTTAAATGATCTTGATCTATCTGAGCGATTTTTTGAAAATTCCTTTCTGGTGCCAAGTTAGAGGACATTTCCTGATTTTAAAATGACATTTTGTCTTCGGTTAATCTCAAGAACGGTAAAAGATATCAATTTGAAACTTTCAGGGATTATAGATCATGATAGATACTAACCAGGACGCGACCTTTCGTTCGTCGTCAATACTTCCTGTCGTTAGGAGATGCGAATTGAAAAAAGTGTATTTTCTAACTTTTTTGTTTTTTCAATATTTTCAATTAATTTTAAGTTTGTTAATAGAGACCCTTCTATTGATGTTTACTATATAAGTTGTTTGAATATTGGGTTATCTGAACTCTAGATATTAATATTTGAAAATCTGAAGCGGGCCCAAGATGGCGGCTGTCTCTGTCAACTCCGCCATTTCGCGAGTAGGGGTTGATGGAGGCAGCTGAGCGTTTGATTAAACCATTCTGACATAAGGATACATGGAATTTAAAAACTACTTGGACTTTCACGTAGTAGTACGTTGAAATTACGTGTCAATCTTAAAACTTAATTTTCGTTTCACTGCTTTAGTTTAACTGGGCTAGATACGATATGTAATGTGTACAATGTGTTAAATATACCTTCTTAACGTCGAAATAAAATAAAGGCAATAAGAACGTTTTATTTATTTAATTTCATTGAAGCTATCACACCTATTTAATAGATCAGTCCAAAGAAAAGGCGTGAATATTCACTCGTGGAGTTTGGCGCGAAATTATCAATAGTGGCCCGCGTTATATAATTCTTA